CTGCTAGCCGCTAGCAGGTTCAAAAAGGGAGGCACGGTGAGGGCGAAGCCAGGCCGCGCTGGGAGCATAAAAGGACCCAAGAACAGGAAGGAGCTCGAGGCTGCCGGTTCCGGGAATAGACTCGTCTCGTCGTTGCTGTCGTCTCATCGGCATCGTCGCTAAACGCCTTCGCTAGATATTGCGCTACGAAGGATAGCAGTTGGCTATCTCAGTCAACACTGTCAGTGTTAGACGGCTAGTGTTATGTACAGGCTGAGCTACTATGGAGAGTGTGCGGATGAGACCGTGATATTTGTTAATAAAGAAAGTGCCTCCTAGAAACTCTGTCTCTGAATCGTTGACACTACACGAGTATAGCACACCGGTGTGTTGGAGAGCAAAGCCACAACATTTACAATCTGATTGTAAATGTTTATCTCGACGGCGAAACGTCATACTCATTGTAAATGTTGTGGCTTTGCTCTCCAACACACCGGTGTGCTGTACTAGTAACAAATAGGCATGTTCTGTTCACGTGACAAACCTTCCTGATTGGCTGTGTCGGGTGATGGCGGGTTTAATGACATTTATATATTTACGCGATTGAACCCAAAAAACCTGTATTATGGATGATCATGTTTAGTTTTGTATATTTGCGCTGTTCATTCAAATTGCATCACAATCGCCGAAGAACCACAGACAAGCTGGTAGGTAGCATAGAGACGGTGAGCCGGCGCCACCAACAATTTACCAAGCTCTTCGGTTCTCTATATATTAAGATGTTTGCAGCCAGTTAATGAGTGTTTATACATGTGTAGTGTAGTAGAACGACACTACTGTGTTGGCTCGGTATGGGGGCTGTAGGCGGATGTCACGGAGGTCGTGTCAGACCGTGACACCAGGGGCCCCAGGGGGTCACGTGGTTGGCGGCTCGGGCCTTCCCGAAGGATCGGAAAGGGGGGTGTGGCCTGGGGCGGGGTGTGGACAGAGAGCTGGGCTGTTCTGCTGGGTCAACTCTGGGATGAAGCCACCATCTACGATCCTCGGTCTCCGGTCCAGTAATGTAGTATCCCCGTGTGTTAGCTAAGTTAGGAACGGTGGTTACCACCCTATGTCGTTATCCTGTTAATGTTAAGAGTTACCCATTGTGTTTAGCTAATAAATAGTGTTGCCTCCAAAGTTCCAGTGTGCGCCTGAATGTAACCCACGACACATGTGGGAGGAAACTGCAGCACCCCGAGAAAACCCACTGTGCGTGGGTGCAACACTCTACAAGAGTGGCCCCTACGCGAGGCAGGGTATGGCACCTCAATGACCACAAGAAGGGAGGTTTGCAATATTTATGTCATCTACCAATCCTTGCTGCCTGCACAGTGCTGGATTACAGGTGTGCGTAGCCACCACCGCTCTGCTATCGGTGTGAGTAAACCAAGCCTTTTTTAGCAATGTGGCCAGTTTTTAATGAAGTAAGTCCCAAATACAGTGAGGGAAAAAAGTATTTGATCCCCTGCTGATTTTGTACGTTTGCCCACTGACAAAGAAATGATCAGTCAATAATTTTAATGGTAGGTTTATTTGAACAGTGAGAGACAGAATAACAACAAAAATCCAGAAAAACGCATGTCAAAAATGTTATAAGTTGATTTGCATTTAATGAGGGAAATAAGTATTTGAACCCCTCTTAATCAGAAAGATTTCTGGCTTCCAGGTGTCTTTTATACAGGTAACGAGCTGAGATTAGGAGCACACTCTTAAAGGGAGTGCTCCTAATCTCAGCTTGTTACCTGTATTTAAGACACCTGTTCACAGAAGCAATTAACAATCAGATTCCAAACTCTCCACAATGGCCAAGACTAAAAAGCTCTCCAAGGATGTCATGGACAAGGTTGTAGACATACACAAGGCTGGAATGGGCTACAAGACCATCGCCAAGCAGCTTGGTGAGAAGGTGACAACAGTTGGTGCGATTATTCGCAAATGGAAGATAGACAAAATAACTGTCAATCTTCCTCAGCATGGGGCTCCATGCAAGATCTCACCTCGTGGAGTTGCAATGATCATGAGAACGGTGAGGAATCAGCCCAGAACTACACGGGAGGATCTTGTCAATGATCTCAAGGCAGCTGGGACCATAGTCACCAAGAAAACAGTTGGTAACACACTACGCTGTGAAGGACTGATATCCTGCAGCGCCCGCAAGGTCCCCCTGCTCAAGAAAGCACATATACATGCCCGTCTGAAGTTTGCCAATGAACATCTGAATGATTCAGAGGACAACTGGGTGAAAGTGTTGTGGTCAGATGAGACCAAAATGGAGCTATTTGGCATCAACTCAACTCGCCGTGTTTGGAGGAGGAGGTGGAATGCTGCCTATGACCCCAAGAACACCATCCCCACCGTCAAACATGGAGGTGGAAACATTATGCTTTGGGGGTGTTTTTCTGCTAAGGGGACAGGACAACTTCACCGCATCAAAGGGACGATGGACGGGGCCATGTACCGTCAAATCTTGGGTGAGAACCTCCTTTCCTCAGCCAGGGCATTGAAAATGGGTCGTGGATGGGTATTCCAGCATGACAATGACCAAAAACACACGGCCAAGGCAACAAAGGAGTGGCTCAAGAAGAAGCACATTAAGGTCCTGGAGTGGCCTAGCCAGTCTCCAGACCTTAATCCCATAGAAAATCTGTGGAGGGAGCTGAAGGTTCGAGTTGCCAAACGTCAGCCTCGAAACCTTAATGACTTGGAGAATATCTGCAAAGAGGAGTGGGACAAAATCCCTCCTGAGATGTGTGCAAACCTGGTGGCCAACTACAAGAAACGTCTGACCTCTGTGATTGCCAACAAGGGTTTTGCCACCAAGTACTAAGTCATGTCTTGCAGAGGGGTCAAATACTTATTTCCCTCATTAAAATGCAAATCAATTTATAACATTTTTGACATGCGTTTTTCTGGATTTTGTTGTTGTTATTCTGTCTTTCACTGTTCAAATAAACCTACCATTAAAATTATAGACTGATCATGTTTTTGTCAGTGGGCAAACGTACAAAATCAGCAGGGGATCAAATACTTTTTTTCCCTCACTGTAGCAACGCAACGTTATTTTAAGTTTTGGTTCATATTGTATCACCTACACGGGAGTTATGTTGTTATGGACGGACAGACAAACGGAGCGCAGAACAGAGAGATGTATGGATGGACAGCTAATTCAAACAAACTTTCAGTCTTATTAGGTAAGCATTACAAAGTGTGTATAATTCATATTCATGAGTTTTGCTACAAAGATCCATATTACATTATACACTAATGTCGTCCCAATCATGTGTAATGCTTCCGTCTTTCTACCAAATGGCAATCTTTTGTGAACAGTCAATCAACTGCTATCATGCTCCCATTCATTGTTTGATATGACGTCTTCAGGCATGCATCTATCAATCAGATTCTGGGAAAAAATAATGAATATAAAATACCATGATAACCTACACATTTTTAGGCTGTCAAAAGGCAATTTACATGAAAAAGTAATCAGTGCATGTTACCGCAATTCCATTTGAACCAGAAAAAGGACACTCGCAAAGAAAATGGAATAGGAGATGAACAGTGTACAAAGACACTTGGAAAGGTGCACGCTGGGAATTGCACTGAGAGACATGAAGACGGAGTGCATAGATCGGGAACAAATGAAATTAGATGCTTGATATTGGCTGTTTAAGAAAATAAGTCTTCTTGGGCAGGATGCATTTCTGGCCGAAGAACAAGTATTATGGAAAAACTGGTAATGGAACGGCAGGCCACCCACACCTTTTGCATGTGACGTGAGGGGTGCCAAGTGTCCTGCCCCCTTGGCTGCTCTGTCTTCTTGTAGAGCAGCAGTAGCCAACTGGGCGTCTTCCGACCCACATGCGGCTCTTTAATCCACCACATGCAGTTCTTTTTAAAGGGCATAACATAGAACACGCTTTCACAGTAGCAAAGAATAATGAATGTCCCCCGTGCTGTGCCGAAATCTGTCAATAGAAATACACTTGGCTCTTTGCAGAACTCATGGGTAATTTTTGGCTCTTGATCTGTTACAGGTTGGCCACCCCTGTTGTAGAGAGATGCAACCAGGACCGGATTATGACATTGCTGGGGGCCCTAAGCTATGTCAAGCTTAAGAGGCCCCATCGAAGAATACCTCTATATTTTTGTCATATCGGAATGAAAAAAAACATTTTAGAGAGTCTTTTTTCCTCGTCTCTTTTATTTTTCAACCGATTATGTAAAACTTGACACTTCATATCAGATATTTTTTTGTATATTTAAAGGCCCCTCATAATGTGATCCCCTAAGCTCTAGCTACATGAGGGGCCTTCAGAGTACAGGTGGTTTTCCATCGGCTATTTGCCCAGCCAAGCCAGAACTAAACCGTGAAACCCTGGCCTCCCATCGGATTCTGGCTGGGGGCCAAGCAGGGCCAGGGGCGGGGTTAATAATTTCCGTTATACATATCACTATCTGCACGCGACTCGACTCGTTTATTGCAAGTAATGTCAGCAGCACAGGCTCATGTCCTGCAGTGGGAAAACAACCTGGCGCCTTCTGAGCCACATCACCATGGCCTCGATTGTACAGTGGAAGGAGATATATTATTTGGATGATTTTGCTGCTGTAAATTCCAATATGGTAAGCGATCTCGTTGCGCTATCATTTATGGGCAGGTCACTTCTGAAAAATAAGCTAATGGTTCGGTGGGCTTTGCCTGGAAAGATAAAAATAGTTTATTTTTATATATTTTTTAAGCAATTTGTTTACCTTTCCTATATTTTGCACTCCTGTCGTGTTTTTGTATTGCTTGTTGTAGCGCTCTGACCCGCCCCACCTTGACATCTGTGAAAACTAGCTACATAGCTCATCGGAATCCCCCAGTATAAATACATATTTTGATTCTGATAAATCTCTCCCAAGTCGGTCACTGGGACGACGTCGCTTGGGGGCTGCTGTCTCACCTCACCTCCTGTCTACTTTGCGCTCCCGGGCAGGTGGAGGGGGCGGCCTATGTGGGCTCATTCGTGTGGCGCACACGGCCCGCGGGCCTGTGGGCCCGGCCTCGCGGAGAGAACATGCTGGACACCGGGGCACCCTTCTACGACACGTACCGCACGGCCGACGGGCAGTATGTGGCGGTCGGGGCCATCGAGCCTCAGTTCTACTCCGCCCTCCTCAAAGGTCTGCCGTGTTTAGAAATCCTCGGAAGTCCGGCACTACTAGAACTACTTCTTTTGTATTGCATTTCAAAAGCAACGGAATTTATTTGTGCGCATATACATGTTTACTTGTGTACGTTTGCAGCCGTTATGCCAATCCACTGCTGTATTGAGGGCCTCCCCATGCCGTGCGGGTCTTGGGGGTTCAATTACCATACTTCAGTATGTTGCTCAATGTGGGATGGTGAAGGTGGGGAGCATATATGTTGGAGTACAGTACACCAATGTATTTTATGCACTGTCCCATGCAACATCCTTTAACACCCATTTTATACACGGTGTTCACCCAGCCAAGAACTAACCAGGCTTCACCCCAGCTTAGCTTCTGATATTTTGATGCGATTGAGTGCAATCCGGGTGATTTGGCCAAAGGCTCCCATTCCATTTGTACCTCCTGCAAAAATGTGTATTGGGGCAATGACTGCAGTGCAGTTACAATCACGCGACTCCTTAATCCTGCACTGTTATCGGAGGTGGCCGCGCCAGCCATGTGCAGTAGCCCAGCACTTGTGTCCATGGAACTCAACTGAGAGCTCGGAGGATTTGTCAGGGCATCATTATAGATGTAAAAAAAGACAGCATTTTTATGCAGGGAAATCAAGAGCATCTGCCTGGCGAAATCAGCTCTTGAAAATTGTACAGATTTCTCACCCGCCGCCACCCCCCCTTGGCTGTGTGCCTCGACGGAGGCAATTTATTGACTCATTTAAATTCCTGGCGAAATTCCTCGTGGGAGAGAGGTCTCTGGGTCCCCCGGGGGCACGCTCACAAGTGGGACGAGAACGCGTGCGAGTCAGACCAGGCGAATCGGGTTTTGCAGGAAGCCACGGGGGAGCGCAGAGCCAGCGGCGAACCCTACGCCCCGATTGTGCGTGTGAAGGAGGAGGACCGAGAATATAGCGAGCGAAGGAGCGATGCAGTCGGCGCCCGCGTCTAATTGGAACGTGTCAGCGTGCTTTGTATGGCCGTGTGTGATACGTAGGTTATGTGCCAGCCGCCCCCGCTGCCAGGGTTTTGGCACTCCCCAACCCGCCGTGGTTAAACCTCCCGCTAAGGTCGCGCCTCATGGAGAAGTCACGATGCTCTCAATTAAACAGCGTCAATGGAGCGCGGGGGGGAAAAAAAGGGGATGCAGAAACTGTGACTGAAAAGTGCTCGGGAGCGGCGTCCACCATTTGAAACACGAGCGCGACAAATTAAAAACACAAAACAAGATGGTAATCACTCGCTGACACGATTACCATCTCGTTAATCGCCCACTAGTTTTGGGGCTGTGACATCATCACGGCCCAGCAGTGGTGCGTTGGCTGCGTGTTGCAGCGGTATGTGGTTTCGAACCCGGCAGGTCGCTGTGATTATTGCTGCAGGTGTACTAGCCGTAATTGCACGCCACCGGCTACTCGGTGGATGTTAACCATGTTGTGCCGGTGTCATGGTCTACATTTGTCAAATGAAATAAATTACAGGGGTCCCCCTATATACGTCGCCCCGATGTACGTTGTTTCGCACTCACTTTGCCGACTTTCTGAGGAACGCAACGTAACATTTATTGAGGATTAGCAGCGTTAGTAGACTTAGGATCTGGCACGAGCAATAAACTCTGCCTGCGGGAGTGCGATCCGTTGCTTGTTTTAAAATTACCTCATTTGTACGACGTTTCACTGGAGATCAGAACCGGCATCTTCAGATATTCGCAAAAAGGCAGGACTCAAGTGATTGCCTGCGACTTAATTGACCTGGGTCCTTAAGTAGGTCTCATTTACGTCATCAGACCGGCCATGACGTCATCACACCACCCCTGCAGGTTAACCGGATATTGGAGTTGATTGCATATTGATTGGTTGTAACTTACAGGGTTAATTAGTGTAATAATAGTTGATCGCAGATTGTTTTTACGTACTTTACAGGGTTCATTCGTGTAATTAGGTAAATATTTTAATTCGTGAAAATAGGCTATCCTTAATTATGTTAAAAATAATAATTGAAATGTATAATGCGCATTCCACCCTAGGATCCCAATGCATAATGCAAGAAAAGTAGGAAACAAAAACAAAACCAGAGCAATCGACCAAACTAAAGAGTTGGTCAAGGCCTATTTCAGTGGTAAGTGAAGACGGCGCTCTGGCCCCATGACGGCTCAGGGGTGTAGCGTGCAGCTCGCAATTGGAAGGTCGAGAGTTCAACTCCGAATTGGGTCTTGACTTATCCCTCCAGTGTCGTCCCTTCGGGGCCAAAGAAACGAGTGACATTTAGTGGGATAGCCAACAGTGGTCCTACGGAGGGACCCGCCGCCGCCATAGGAATGTGGAGTTTCTTCCGTTGGCTCTGCAGCGCTGTAAAGAGGAGATGAGCACCGATGCCTCAGTGCTCACTTGAGGCAGGAAATCATTTCCATTTTTTGCATCTTCAAGTCAGTGTTGTGTTGAATAAAATAATTATTGACATGCCATTGCACGATAGAGGGAGTTAATTTATGTCTCTTCCTTGAATAAATGTCTGCGAATTTAGTTAAAACAGCTGGCCCTCCTCGTTTGATCATTTCCACACTTATTCCAATCTGGTACAGGAGCGTTCCAGTTTGTTCATGCTGTGAATGAGAAAATATCTGCATGAGATTGCTTGATTCTCTGACATACCTCGCGAGATGGTCCGTTTTGCTAAAGGCCACCGTTAGTAAATATTCAATTATCGAAGTAGTGCTTTCTTTGACCCATCATTTATGACACCTGCAATCACGCATGTGTTTGTGCGATAATTTACATTACCATTATTTCCAGAATGGTTTTACACAATTGTGCATCTTCGATATAGTTTGTCTGTATTCGTTCATGATGGTTTTTTTAATCAAAATTTGTACGTATATAGCAGCATCAATCATGAAAATCGCATCTCAAAAACACTGCGCAATTTTTAACGCAGCGCAATTTTTGCACAGATGAGCAGGGAAAACCACAGACAAGTGGGAAGGTGGCCAGAACCGGAGCTACCAGCAGTTGCCCAAGCTCTGTGGTCTTATTTTGATGTGTTTGGCCAACTCCATTAATAATGAACACCGCTTTCCACAGGTGTTCGTTGTGCGGGGTGGTCGTGTAGCGGTTAGCGTGCCGCACGAGCTCGACGACCCGGGTTCGATTCCCACTCATGGCCAACACCAGTGATGATTATCTGACCCGGTCTTGGGCTTCCCGTAGCTCGACTCGGCCTCAAATGAGTACCTGGTGCAGTGTGTAAACATTGCCACTCGAGCAATAAAGACGGCTGGGTGTGGTGCTGGTCACCCACCCCCTGTGCTGTGCCGGCCTTCATTGGTGCTCGCTAATAGCATTTGCCCCAACAGTCTTTGAAGTCTATATGGGGAATCTTTATTTCGTTTATTTGTTTTAGAAAACCAGAACACATGGAGAAAACCACGCGTGCCAGGATGAGGTCACACTCAATCTCCTCTACAGATGGACTACCGATGGAAATTAATGTGCATTCCATCCTAGTGTAATAAAGCTCGTTGAGGCAACTTCTGGATTTCGTCTTTTATTCAACTTATCTTACAGTTTACTCCATGCTGCTGACAGGGCCATGCCCCCAGGCTTCCCCCCATTGGCTGATAGGCAGCATGAGAGGGACAGATATAGAGAGAGAGACGCACTGCCACGTGGCAACTCGGAGCCCCGCTCCCGCGTGGCCTCCCCCCTCTGTCCGTTCCCGTTCTGACCACGTGTCGTCCGTCTCCACCCCTATTTAATACCCGGGTCACGTGGTATGTTTCCGCCAATCCTCGTTAGCCTGCATCAAATCTTCCAGGATCCATCGTCAGCTCCCGGGACCACGCCCCTGACTCATCTCCCCATTGGCTGAGGCCAAAGCCAGCAAAACCAATCCTTATAGCTGTCACCTTTCCATCACGTCAGGGCCCCCAGGCTTCCCCACATTGGCTGTAAACCAGGACCGGCAGAGCCAATCACCATGACGAGTTGTGATACGTCAGTGAGCCGGATATAGCCTCATTACACTAGGATCTCAACTGACCGCACCGCCATCATGCTCTGGTGAGCCAGGAGATGGCGACCTCGACGCCGTTGGGTAGTCTGAGCTTTGCCGAGTCGTGTGATCCACCAACTGGCCACGTGTAGCATGGCCGTGATCTCAAGGTAGCTTGTTCGCGATGATTTGCTCTCCCTCCCACTCTCAGTTCACTACACTATAAGTTAACGCATTCATTTGGGTGCTGCCATTGAATTATTCAAACAACTCAGCACATTTGTCAAGAACACCCTGGCCTGAGAAGGAAATGGTAGACATTTCAGGCAATGGACCTTCTTCATGGCACGTAAATGAAGAAGGTCTATTGTGCCTGGGCACCACTGCTAATGTAGCAGTATGACTAAATATATATATTTTTACTTCGATGTAATAATTTTGCTTCTTTATGGCTTTCAGTCTATTGCTTAGAGTAAGTGTAAATTATTCTAACTCCTGCACTTTGTTTTTCATGTTAACGGTCTTGATGTTGCCCGTGATTAGCTCTGCCCTCTCCTTGGCAATGTTGAATTGTAACTTACATCGCACCCTTCCCGTTTCGAGTTTTATGAAGGGAGGAGACATCTCTGACAATCTGGGGTTTGTCCATCAGAATCGAGTCAATTTAAAATTTTCTCATTGGGACTAATTTTTTTAACTCAATATCTCAAGGGTGCCAGTGCAGTGGTAACACTCACGGCTCGCAGCAATAAGGGTCTGGGTTCGATTTCCTACTTCAGCAGTTTTTTTTCGTAGAGTTTGTATGTCCTCCCCTTAGTCTGTGTGGTTTTCCCCTGGTTTTCCGGTTTCCTCCCAGAGAGTCTTTCATGAGGCTTTCATCAGTAAAGAAACATAATTATGTTCGAAAATAAACATTTTACATATTCTCCAATCTTATTACTTTTGAATAACGTTGTTCATTATCACCATGTGCCTTCTGGCTTTGAA